CACAACGAAGCACACAGCGTCTTCACGACATGGCGGCAGCGGCAACAACAAAACTACAGCGAGAATAAAGTTAGGTCTTCTTTCTTTGCGTGAACATTTGGGCGGTGTTATGCAAATCTTCCCACATAGTGAGGTAGAAATGTGTGGGCGTGTTAGAACGAGCCGTTTTAGGAGGGCGTGGTTGACTCTTTAACTTTTATAAAGAATATCTCTTTGGATTTGAGACTTTAGTCTTTGCAACTTTACAGATCTACATTATGCACCAAGAGCTTGTAACACTCCAAAGAGAAAGGAAAAATTGAAATCGCATCATATGACCCCTTTAATGAGTTTTGTTTCATTTAATGTGTCCTTGTTGAGGAAAAGCATTCAAGCATTCTTACTTGGAAAAAAAAAAAATCTTACTAACCCCAAACTTTTGAACAGTGATGTATCAGGACTAGTGAAAATGTTGAAGAAGCTAAAAAAAAATAATAATAACCATCAATTTTTAATTGTTTATGTTTGCATTTATATAATTTCCAACTGTTAGTGGCCATAGTGGACAAAAACGTTGATCCCACAGATTCAGGTCTTTTGTGCCTTTGCTGCAGTTTCATTCACAATCCCATTATGATATGACGCACAGTGTACCGTACCATGCAGTAGCTGGTAATGCCCTGCACTAATGCACAGTCTGTACTGCTGATCACAGCGGTGTGTAATATCTGGCCCCCATGAGACAGTATAGTAATATCTTTAGAGTGGCTTTGATATAGCACCACTGTGACTCTGACTGTCTCTGACAGAGAGAGGGCAAGGGCTGGGAAATGATGGGGGGTGCACTGTTGCTATGGAGACTGAGCCAGGGGCTGGCAGAGGGCTCACTGATTGATTTTGGTATTGTATCTGTGTGGCTTCTGGAACATTACCCATCCTGTCTCGCTGCAGTGCTGCTCAGTTGAGGGGGGCAGGCAGCAATGTAACTCTTGATAAATCCACAATAGCATTGCTTGGTAATTTATTTATTTTTATGTTGCATTATGAAATGGATCTCCCATACACATTAATGCATAGCAGAGAGGACAGGAGAGAGAATAACATTGTTAAAAGTGTGGGGGGAAAAAAGCAGACGAGAAAGACGGATGAAGGGCATAATGAAAGGAAGAACTTACGGTAACTACTCTCACTATCACTGGCATTAGAGGTGACATGCTCTGAAATCATAACAGAGGTGGAATGGATGATGAAAACCAAGAACAGGAGCACAAGATGATGCTTGAGGTGACTCAAAAATACCAGTCCTGAGTCTCACCATAGTGGAGAAATACTCACAACACTAAGGGACATAGTACATCTTCTGAGACCCCATGAAATGAGTTTTGTGGCTTTTAGTCCATATCTGGTAGTTTTGAGGTCATATGCAACTGTACTCTTAATAGTTGACAAAGTTAACAAGCACAGGTCACAGTAAAATAAATAATAATAAAAATAATTCCAAATAAGTTACATTTACATAATTTCACATTATTTGTTTAATTCTGCTTTCTAAAGACTGGTCAGAATTCATGAGATTAATCACAATTTTTTTCTACTATCAGCCATTGATTCATGTATCTCTTCATGTTGTACATCTAATAGTACTCTAACACAATGTTAATGTAATAGAACCTAAATATTTCCTCAGCTATTTTCATCTAGTTTTCCCTATTGTACACAATATTTTGTCTTTTTCAATGTATAAAGAGGTCTGTGGTATCAAATATGTTTTAAAATGAACGAACTAGCAGATTTACAGATTTAGAATGTTAAAGGGAATGTCCAAAAATGAAATTTCTGTTATCATTTATTTACTTGTTCCAAACCCATAATTTCATTCATTTTTGGAACACAAATGAAGGTATTTTTAATATTTTGTCCATTCTTTCAATGTCTATGCAACAACAATTTTAAGCTTCAAAAAGTTCATAAAGACACTGTGAAGGTAATCCAAATGAATCAAGCAGTTTAATCCAAGGATTTTGTAGAGACAGAATTGCTTCATATGATGAACAGAAAACAAAAAGAATAAAATAAAAGCCTAAATTAAATCTCTTCATCATATAAAGCAGGGATCTCAAACCCTCAAGAGAAAATAAAATATACAGGTACTGAATGAGAGGAGATTCCATAGAGCACAATGAGACAAAGTAAAAAACACGTTTCACCTCCACCATCAACAGCAGACGCAGAAAACTGTTTGTCTGGTACTGTATGAATTATGAGAGTGAGGAATGAGATATGTGAGAAAAAGAGAGATAGAGTGGAAGTCTGGTCCAGAGGTGACCGAGTGGGCATCTACATGGGAAACTTACTCTGGCCTTTGGATAGCATGTCATCTGGGTTGTCCTGTGGATCGGTCAGGAAGGGAGCAACAAGAGAGACAACAACCACAAGAGTACAAGGGTTACTGAGACACTCTAAGGCCTGGTCCAGCCACTGAACACAGCAGGCACCAAGCTGTCTCTGTCCACTGGTGTTGCTATAACTAAAGTAGGCTCTGATGTCTGCTGTGTCCAGTGGAGCAGTGCCCACCTCTGTCCTTATGACCTGCTGCCCTATTCTTGCCCAGCATTGCGCTGAAGTGCTGATTTCTGTACTTACGGTCCACATCGCTTGTTTCCTGCTCACTCGCCTCCTTGTTCTTGTAGAAAGGGAACTTGCGGGAAAACAGATTCTTTTTACGCTTGTCATTGAGGGACTGCTGAGGAAGAGAAGGAAGGGGAGGGCAAAAGAAAAGAAGGGAAGGGGAAGAGGGCCGTCTAATGTCCATATGGAAAAAAATAAAGGATGATTATTCTGCTCTCGACTTTGTGGACCTCTGACGGCTTAATCAAATCATAATGATACAATTTCTTTTTTATAGATGTTCACTCAATTAATGGAGGACGTCACAAAGTCAGAATTGTATATGAAATGCATGAAGAACTGAAGTGGACAAATAAAAGGATTTGAGTCATTGACTCAAAAAACAGCTAGCAGCAGGAAATCTCAAACACAAGAGAAGCAGACGGACAGATTTGCATGCAGAGGGTAAGAAGCATTGTGAGTGTGCCAGAAGCATGTGGAGGCCTATAACTGCTTTGGTTGTGGCTGCTTTTCTTATCAGCAGCAACATGCAACAAAACAAAAAGCAAGTTGGCCTGATTTCCTTTTCTTTCATTCAAGGGCAGGCAAATATAGTATGAAATACTTTGCTGTGAAAACAGCCTGTATGTAAAATTATTTAAGCATTACTATATGGCTCTTTTCCTCTGCAATGATGCAGCACCAGGACTACAGGTGCATTTCCATTCTTATGCAGTGATCAGTTATAAGCCTGGCTGGTTTACACTGCAGCACTATGGATTATCGGAGAGCGCTGAACGGTAGGTAAAAAGAGAAAAGTGTGAGGATGAAGGACAGGTGAGGTGTGGCATACAGAAGGACGAGCAGTCCGACATCAATGGCAAGCGTATTTATCCTTCGTTTTCCTATCATGCATGTTTTCTCAGGCTGTTAGATAATCTGGTGTTTTGATTTCTATGCCTCATAAATGAGTTATAGGTGTATAATAGTACTGTTATATGTGTTATATAACATATGACCATTTTATGGGCCTGCGACACTTGCAGCTACGCATGCTGTTAATTTAGACTGTACCATTCATATGGCAGACAGATTAGTATCAGAATATTACATTCCACTGAATGCACTAACTGAGCATTATTAATTGTGAGTTAATATCAAATGGTCAAACTTTCACAGAGGTAGGAACATTAGCAAATACTAATTTGTAAAGCAATTTGAAATGCATTTCAATGTCATTCTAGATACACAGTATAAGCAACATAAGAGCTTTGTTCCAATCCCTAGTGAGTTGCCAACATCATACTCCTGATGAAAAGGTCGTTCCATAAGGAAGGAAGGAAGCGAAGCATATTAAAATGCTGCTTTCTAGGATTCCACGTTTTGGACAAAATCTAAGGCAGCATGCCAATGTAATTAATCAAATGGTTGGGGTCAGTAGGATTTATTTATTATTTCTTTATTTATTAGTAAGGACCCATAAAATTATAATTTATAACGTTACTAAATATTTCTATTTTAAAAAATGCTATATTCATCAAAATATCCTGATAAGTGTCATAATATTTATTTAATATTTATTACAAATAAAGCAGCACATCTGTTTTCTACATTTATAATTAAAATAAATATTTCCTGAGCACCAAATCAGCGTGTTAGAATGATTTCTGAAGACTCATGTGACATTGAAGACTGGAGTAATGGCACAGGAATAAATTACATTTTAAAATAATTAAAACAGTTATTATAAATTGTAATAACAACAATTCACAATATTACTGTTTTTACTGTATTTTCAAAAACAGTAAAAATTAGGGATGCACCGATACCACTTTTTCCAGTACTTGCCCGATACCGATACTTTTATTGCATTTGTACATTTTTTAAATATTGGGTACAATTTGTATCAATTTTACTGGTAGTCCACTGTAGGAAGAATTTTTTGGGTATGATTTGTCACAGTTTACTTTATTTTGCTATCCTCACTTACATAAATGAACTATAGTGTCCTGCACCCACTAGTAAAAATATATCAAAAATTATATCTGGTCTCTGAATCATTTTTGGTTTCACTGTATATCCTTCGGTTATTTTCACACTTAATTATGCCCATTAAATGTACTTTACAAGTTTTTGTTACTTTCACCATTCATTGTTTTGCTCTATGTTACATCATCTTTAATTTAATAGCATTAGAGCTGCTCCATTGCAGCGGATCTGTACTGTAATCACGCGCTTTGCTGTAATAATGCAGGGAACCACTCGTACTTTCGCCAGAAAGTCGTGTATGCCTAAGGTTGAAAATAAATTATTTTTATAGTGAATGCCCCTATGAATGGTTTTATTTTTTTACGATTTAGTTTTAATCCAAATGATGCGTGCTAAGTGAGTGAACATCAAAGATCACACAACAGAAATGTGCGCGCGCGCTCTCACTCTCTCTCTCTCGGTCTCTCTCTCTCTCTCCCTACCGTTAAGTAACTTGTGCATTGTTTTACTTACTTGTCTTTGACATATCCGACCGAACTACAAACTTTCCAGTGATGTCTGTGAGAAAGATATATTCACTCGACAAGCTCGCGCATCTGCGCCGCCGCGCGCTCAATCCACTCAGCGTGCTTTGTTAATCAGCTCGCGCACATCAGCTATACAGGCGTTAATACTGAATGTTTAATATTATATTCATTGCATACATATACTTCGTAGTAGACATCCTTAACTCCTTTCTGCTGTCTGTTGTTCTGTTGTCGGTGTTTCTTTGTTTGAATATGGCACTTATCACATGCTGTGTGGTATCGGCATTTGGTATCGGGGCATTTTAACGAGTACGAGTATGAGTACAGGAGACCAGTATCGGGCCCGATACCGATACCAGTATCGGTATCGGTGCATCCCTAGTAAAAATCTAATCGACCACAAACTGTTGAACGGTAGTTTATGGTTTGCAGAGAAAGCAATCCCAGAACACATTGAAATGAACTCAAAACTTAATTCAAGTTGGAGGTCAAGTTGAGAAAAATGTTGTGTTAGAAAAAACCCTAACACAACTTAAAACCCAAATTTACTCAGCATTTTTGTGTGCATGACATGGGGGCTGTCAATGCAAAGTGTTGCAAATCAGTTACTTACGAGGCTCCAAATCAGTCAGGATGTGGTCTTAAAAGACATGTAGGCAGTAGACAGCAAAGCAACTCACTTGGTTTTGGAACAGAGTATTGTTCAAATCTATGTAGGTATGCATGTAAGAAAAGGTTCACTCACCCCTTTTTCTCGCGATTTGGAGTTGAACTTAACTGTCTTTAACCTTGCTCTCTCCTTCTTCTCCACTCTTGAGAGAAAACATAAGGATCTCGTATTACAATAGCTGTTATTCACAATTAATCAGTTACGCTGCATTTAAAGCTCCTTCATCGGAAAACATCTCTAAGACATGCACTTGACGCTACTGAGAGTAACCTATCAGCTAAGCATACACGATGACAAACTCAGGTCCGGTCAAAAAATTCTGGAAGACTTTGGTGGAATGGTGCTGGGTGACCTATTTATACTATTTAATGCAAACACAAATGTCAGCATGCCCTACATCCAAGTAAACCTACCAGCCTAAATGTATCTGCAAATAATAATAATTATATTTGTAATTTTATAAGCTTCAATCTTTCACCTTCTCTTGCTGGGAATTACGCCCATTTCCTCCACCTCTCCTTGAGGAGTGACTTGCCGTGCCTGCCACCACTCATCATCTGAAGCATTCACCACGTGCAGTATGTCCCCGAATTTGAAGTTCAGGCCCTGGCTGGGCAGCCCAGAATCCTTAGTTTTATCATAATCAAACAGTGCCCTGCAGAAAACAGTCAAAGTAAGACCAAAGCTAAAACACAGACTAGATACTTGCTCCTTTAGCTGAGAGCATATGGTAAAGTCTGAACAGAAGCTTTAAAAATGGCTAAACCATTTCAAAAGATGTGTGTAAACTGCAAATATAAGATCTCTTATTCCAAATGAGCAATTTAGTAAAAAAAAAAAAAAGCATTTAAAGTTGCCATGAAATGGAAATTGTAATTGTCTATTCTTCTCTACAGTGACATATATCCATGTGAAACAAGAAAAAACAAGTAAAAATGTAGGACTTGATTTCGTCCATCAGGAATTGACTGGGCAGTTGGATCGTTGTTGTTAGCTAATTGCTGTGATCTCATGTGAGTGACGGGTTGCTGGAGGGAGGTTTTTTTGCCCAGCCCTTACGCCGGTGCACAGATAATCAGAAAAGAGATGTCATTGCGAGGGTGAGGGGAAGTTAATAGTTTTGATTAAATATTACAAGGGAACATGAATAATAAAAATTACAAATAATAATAGTCAGTTCATTGTAAATTATTTGTAATAAACACTAAAAATATTCCATAAAAAATAAGAATTGTCAGTTTTGATTTCATAGTGACTTTATATGCAGTTTTCCAGTTCCTTCCTTGTAGATATTTGTCTTGTACCTGACGTATAGTGATCTCTTCTGACTGGTCCTCAGGGACCCTGAGCCTGAGCTGATGCTGTTATTCATCATCTGCTCTCTTAGGTCATGGATCTTGGCTTCAAATCGGCTGTACTCTGAAACACAAGGCCACAAATATCACTACTGCACATTTCCCAGAATGCTGCTGTTGAATGCCCTCATAAAACATTGTGTGTATGAGGGAATAAAAGACTCATGTAAAAAGAGTGTGGCTGAATATTTGTGCATAAAAAACCAATGTTATCAATAAAACACATTATCAAAGTTATACAAATATTCACACAAATAGCTTTGTCATGATACTAAGTAGCAATTGGACACCAACTTGTGCCCTATCATGGAAGTCTTCTTTTTGAATCTTTTCTAAAATGTTCACAGGATGTCGATGCCGCAGAAATGTAAATGATGCAGAACAACCATTGACTCTAAGAAGAAATTCAAACTGTCAGAATCAATACTTTAAAAATGTGACTCTATTGCTGTTAAAAGCAAATCTTATTTTTTTAAACATTTTATCAAGGGGAGTGAAAGACAAAGCATCAGAAATGTACCACCATTGTTAAGAGTATAATAATGGTCTGTAGGACAGTTTGACAGTCAGACCTGGATGACTAAATATCCAAATCAAATTTTTATGAGTTCTATTTAAGACCCGACTTAGCACAAAGGAGTCAATAGAAACCTATAAAACTGGAGTATTGGCTTATTAGCTTTTTACTTCTCGCAATAACACAGCTAAGAGACTCCTGCTGATCACTGATTGCTTTCTGGTTTGTTTTTAATGAGTGGCACTGTTTTTTACACTTTACTTTTGTGAGCAAGACTCACCCTCTGGTCTGTACTGGGCAACGATGGTGACTGCTTGTCCGGCGTTCTTCAGGGCTGCCGCAGCCTGTTCATGAGTGGCACTGCGTAGGTCTATTCCATTCACCTAAGAAAGGTACAGACATTTTTATATCAATAGGATAAGCAGTATGATAGTGGTCTTGCACACTGTTTAGCACTGAGCTCAGTATGTCTGCTGAATACTGTAAGAAATACTCCTGATTAGATGTTCATCTTCAGTGTGGCAGGGCAAGGATTCAGTCCCCACTGAAATACTCACAGACACCAAACGGTCTCCTTTCTTCAATGCTCCACAGAGGTCTGCAGGACCTCCGGCTAGGATGAAGGAAATAAATATGCCCTCTCCGTCCTCTCCACCCACTATGTTGAAGCCAAGCCCTGTAGAGCCTCGATGCAGCACCACCTTCCTGGGTTCCCTGCATAAGCAAAACATAAAAACATATGTCCTTGTTTCCACATTAAACAACTAAACTTACAGACTCACAGCATCATACACAAACTGTTAATTTTGTCCAAAACAAACAGGTTGCAAAATCATTACATTGTCCTAAATCAAGAATATATGCTGTGTTCTCTGTATTGTACATGTCATACAGCAACATTCTATATGAGTTAGACATACTAGTTTGTAAGATCACATTTAATGTCAAGGCCACCTGTGAAAAAGTAGTCTCTTATGCTCACCAAGGCTGCTTTAATTGATCAAAATACAGTAAAAACAGTAATACTGTGAAATATTATTACAATCTAAAATAAAAATTTTCTATGTTAATATATTTAATATGCTATAATAATATATGAGCATCATATTTCTGTTTTCAGGTGCCTTGAACACCTTACTTCTGCACGCCCACTTCTGAAAGTGCATTACTGAATATGTGATTTTCAAACTGAGGGGCAAATTGAAATTATTTTTGAAATGCCACAAATGAACATTCCTTTAAGAGTGCAAGGTCAGTGTATATAACTGGCCTCTTGGAGGCACTGCTGCTCTAGTTCTACTACACACAGCCACAAAACAACCCTGTGGCTAACTTATAATACTGATACTAGGGTGACCATATTTTAGTTTTCAAAAAAGAGGAACTCAAAATATGTAATTTCCATACCCAAAATACATATTTTAGTCACCATTTTGCAGATTGATCATAAACATACCACAGTTTTATCATAGGTAGAATGCAAAATGTTTCAATAAGCATTTCAGTCAAATGTAATGTATGCAATATTTCAAACCTATGCAAGAAAATCAACCCGCCGCAACAGTGTAAAATCAGCCCAATTCCGTGGAAAAAATGCAGATTTGGCAACCCTGCATCCAACACGAGCTGCATCCAAAGCGATTTACTCCACATATTGATAGCGGCTTCCTGATGCGCGAAAATTATATTCAATATTAGAATGCGGGAGCAGGCGGTAATGGTCAGAAATTGGGAGCGGGATTAAGAAAACAGACCCCCACAGAGCTTTAATACAAAAATGCACAAAATGAATGGCGATTATAGAAAGCAAAAGCCGAATCCCGTACATTTTGGGCGATTTAATTAGAAATCCCGGCCGGACGCATTTTTTTAGGTCCAATTAGTCACCATTTTGCAGATTGATCATAAACATACCACAGTTTTATCATAGGTAGAATGCAAAATGTTTCAATAAGCATTTCAGTCAAATGTAATGTATGCAATATTTCAAACCTATGCAAGAAAATCAACCCGCCGCAACAGTGTAAAATCAGCCCAATTCCGTGGAAAAAATGCAGATTTGGCAACCCTGCATCCAACACGAGCTGCATCCAAAGCGATTTACTCCACATATTGATAGCGGCTTCCTGATGCGCGAAAATTATATTCAATATTAGAATGCGGGAGCAGGCGGTAATGGTCAGAAATTGGGAGCGGGATTAAGAAAACAGACCCCCACAGAGCTTTAATACAAAAATGCACAAAATGAATGGCGATTATAGAAAGCAAAAGCCGAATCCCGTACATTTTGGGCGATTTAATTAGAAATCCCGGCCGGACGCATTTTTTTAGGTCCAAAAAGAGGACATGTCCGGGGAAAAGAGGACGTATGGTCACCCTAACTGATACTGTAAAATCAAACACCATTTTATCACATCATCTCTTGCCTATTAAATAGAGCATTGCTATAAAAAACAACAATGAACACAATGACATCTAGAAGGGGCCACATGCTCCTTTCAGACTGTACTGTATGTTTGATTGTTGTGCTAAACTTCTCCTGTGGACCTAAATGGTCAGATTAATAGAACCGTTTGTTCTGCTGGATTATGACAATCTTGTTTATTCATTTTCTGGCAAGCTGGCTAAGAGGCTTGATGATGCACAGCGGTTTTTATGAAAATCACATGGATGGGCTAAATTTGGAGCTTATCAAATTGCTAAATCGGCAATGATGTGTCGTTTTGGGTCAGAATTGTGTCTAAAAGTTTGGTGTTACATCTGGATAAATGGCATAACCTCACCCCTTTTTTGCAACCAGTTGGATTTTTTTATTGTGCTCTCTTAAAGTGGGCCAATTCTAAAATTAAAATAGATTTAACCTTGTAAAATCATCACATATGTTTCTCAGATGTGGATAACATGCTGAAAGGGGAACTGCCATCTGCCCTCACAATTGACAACTCCCTCAGTGAGGCATTGCAGCTTGGGCTAGCTGACCTGAGTAAAAGTAATAAGCAATTCGATACTCCAGTGAACTATATCAAAAAAAGTTCAGAGAGCATCTCATCAACTAAACAGGTCATGATAGCATCCTGAACATCACATGTGGGCATCAGAGCACTGACTTGCTCTGGCATCGCATTATAAAAATAATCATGAACAGCTTGAAGCTCCCCTTTTGTTGAACTCAAACAATAAGCTTATAACTACAAGATTAATCTGGTATTCAACTGATGATACTAAGTGTACCACAAAATAATAGCAGAAATAATTATGTTGAGTTGCACAAAATAATATACAGCACCATCAATGTAGTCTGAAAAAAAAGAATATTATGAGCCACTCCTTTTAATGAATCACTGAAAAAGACTCAAACTACTCTTTCATCAAAGATCTGAATTAAATCAGGAAATCTGTATCAATACCCAGCCCTTGTAAGGACCATGATTAGTTTTGTTTATTTAAACAGTAAAAGAGTAAAACGTTGATCCATACAGACAGACAGCATTGCATCGTTTCTCACTGCATTGTGCCAAAAAATCTTGAGTATGAGCGCCATCGTAGATTTATGTAGACAATTTTTGACAATACCTGGTTACATCATCATCCCCCACCGTGGTTTTAGGGGTCGGGGAGTAGAGTCCAGAATGCACTGGAGGCAGCGGCTGGCTCAGATAGCTTGAAGGGCTGATATGGTTTTCCATGTGTTGCGAATAGGCTGAGAAAGAGGAAAACAGGCACAAACATTAAAACAGGTCATAGAAACAAGTCTCAAACATCTTGATCTGCATTACCTAAAAGCTTGCAACAAAGAGATCCAAGATCTCTTTTTACCCAATCCTCCAGAAATGCACAATTATATGCTATTCAGTTTGCATCCCTATGAGAAACAGACACACGCTGACAGTAAATGATACCCTGGGCTGAGCTTAGCACCTGGGCCACTACTGCAGCTCCACTTACAAAGATATCCATGTGGGGGAAAGAGACCTGGGGGTCAGTGTGAAACTGAGCCTAAACCATCCTTATTTTACCCGTCTTTGTCTCTCTGTAAAGGTCTCATTTGAAGCAGACAGTTAGCTGAGCTCATGACAAAAGGCCTGGGTATAGGTAGTCTCTCGTAGCCAGACCTTCAGACTAACGGCAGAAGGTCTGGGAACCTTGGCCGGTTTGAATGGCAAGGACCACCCAAGAGGCCATATGACTGACATATAGAGCAACCAATCACGTTTCGTTTTGTGCCACGTCATGTTTAGGGGCATGGAAATGTCCCCACAATAACAGACCGGTGTGTAAAACTCTTGGACATATTTTAAAGATTCTATGCCACAAACTTTAAATATTTCACATACTTTTGAAAACACAGCGTTTAGTCGATCCTGATAAGCGCTCATTATCACAGTTGTAAACACGACGGCTTTCTTCTAACATGAGGGGGTTTGGCGTCACGGCATCTTTGTTTCCAGGCAGAACGTTAAAGAACGCGACACGCACGTCTCCCGGAAATCCTGTATATTCAACCAATCCGATGACGACATCAAAACTCCTGAAGTGTTTCCAATTTTGTGTGCCGTATGCATGAGACGTTCAGCCAACGGTCCGTGGGTGTGATGTCTGAGGCTGAGACTAGGGTATAAGTGGATCATCATATGAGCTCTGTTGACTGGAAGTATGATCCGTACTTGCATAATCACAAAATGATGGTAAAATGGGGAAAATAGATAGTATAAGTATTGAATGATTTTCTCAACTATCCCAAAGAGCTTTTTTTTTTTAAACATTCCCTTTATTGCTTTTTGAAAAGAGAGGGAACAAAACAAAACACACACACACACACAAAAAAAAAGACACACCAAAAACCAAATTACATGTATACAACATTAAAAGAACATCACATCTTACATAACAATTTTAACACCATTCCCCGTTTCTTCCTTTAAAAAAAAGGGTGGGTGGGGTTTGTGACATTGGTTTGTCACAAATGTTTCAAAGTACCTTTGTTTCTGATTGACTACATCTTAGATGGAAACAATACCTGGTCACTTTCAAAGCAATCTATAAAGTATCTCAAAGTGTTACAGAACTTATAAGCTTTTACCCTTTTATAGAAAACCTAATTCTTTCTAACTGAAGATACTGCATAACCTCTCTTTATTTATGTTTTATTTTATTTTATTTATGGGTTATGTTTCCAATTAAGAAGAATCAGTCTTCGTGCAAGAAGCATCACAAATGTAATCACAGAATAATGACTCTTTGGTATTGTAATATTATCATCTTCAACCCCAAAAAGAGCTAGTACCGGGTCTAGGTCCCAAAGAGCTTTTATGTCTGTGTCAGTATTTGCCATCTGCAGTTTCTGTTGTAATGTCACCAGTGTGGAATGCATGCTTAAATGTGATAAATGTTGCAATGGTGAGATGGTGAAACAAAGCTCTTATCTTCCTTATAGTGTCCACTTCATGAAACACTGTAGGGGTCTGTGCGGGACTATTTTTTTAGTCCCGCTCCCGCAAGGTTATATTCCACACCCACCCGCTCCCGCTATATATTCAGTCTTTGTTCACCCGCTGTCCGCTTAGAATAATTGTCTTCTTGACCCGACCGTTCCCGCTAAATTTAGATCTCGTTTCCAGAATCTCACATTAAAATTTCTGCTACTGAAAGAAAGATAGGCTAACAAATAAAAGTGTAGTCTGCACAAAATTGTATGTTATTTTATTCGTCTTGTCAAGAGTCTTGAATTTATTGACTTTGACTTGAATTTATATGAA